TGGGTTGAACGGACGTCACCGAAATCACAGATTTCTTCAGACTACGTGAAACGGGATCGTGACTCTCATTTCGATTAATTGTTGACTAAATTGAGGGTTGTTTCTTAGTCGCCCGGAGGTGAGCTGTCGACCGATGGTGGTCCGCGATGAAGACGGTGGTCGGAGGACGGGGTTCGACATGTTACAGAGAGGAGGAAAGAAGAGAGACAAAGACAAGTGAGAATACATTTTGGGATTTTCAAAACATTTTTTAAAATTGCAAAAAGAACACGTTTTCAACAATCTCAAAATGGACGCTAAAAACCCAAAAGTCAAAATGAATTCAAAACTAAAAATACAAAACTAAAACACGAAGAGAACAACATCTTAGTATTTTCTACCAAAACTTCAAGAATACAAAGAAGAATTTTGAATATGATAGAAGAGTATTTTTTTCACATTTGGAATGGAATATGATTTCAATGGATTTCTATATTATTTTCAATGTATTTGGTATTGATCACAATACATCTATTTATAGATCTCCTTCAATACCCACGAAATGACACCAAAAATCCGTGAAAAATTACCAAAAGTCGCAACAAATTCAAACAAAAAAGGTCCGCCCACAGCTACTTTTTTGTTCTATGCGACCGCATAGAACAACTATATGCGGCATCATAGAAGAATCATCTGCAGAGCTTGAAATCCATGTAAGTCTATATGTGACCGCATTCCTCTCGCATAAAACAACCATATACGGTTGCATAGAAGAATCATCCGCTGAGCTTGAAATCCATACAAGTCTATATGTGATTGCATTCCAGACAAACTATGCGGTCGCATAGTATATATTTTTGGCCTCCAAATCCAATTTTATTAATTTTGAACAATAATTTCAACAATAAACGCAGTGAATGGTTCATAAAAAACCATCTAAGCACAATAGAACTATTCTAAAATGTAGATGACAACAATAAAATTAAGAATTTAAATATTCCAATGGTGTCCTTTTTATCTATCGCAAAGGCAGCAGTTGTTTGCATGTTTTTCTATGGTGCCCATAGTCGCCGATGTATTACTTCACTGAAATCGAAGTTTTCGATGCACATAAATATAAATAAAAAGTAAACAAAACGTAAAAAGATTTCCCGAATATAAGTAAAGAAAAAGTACAATTATATTCAATTTAAGTGAAAATTTTAAAAATTCATCGTTCTTTTTTGAACATTTTACACATCTTTCTTCGCAAATGACCGTACATTCAACTATATTTTGATGAGATTTGTGTGTAACAAGGGATGGAGTATTTCTTTATCTAGATTTTGGAATTGAAAATGAAGAAAAGATAAAAAGATTGAAGTGTTAAATATAGTTTTTTATGTGAAGAAATTAATGCATAAGTTAAAAAAATAATTTGAAAATGACTAAATATGCAAATGTAAATAAGGATAGAGAATAAAAAAGTCATTTTCAAAGGTTGAGGATGAAATTGATGTAAAAGTTTAGACCGATTGCACTTTTGAGAGAGAGAGAATAGTTGGGACCCATGTCCTTACATCCTTCTATAAAAATAACTTGTGAAAGAGAGGGGTCGGAAGATAATAATAGTTGGGACCCATGTCCTTACATCCTTCTATAAAAATAACTCGAGAGAGAGAGAGGGCGGGGGAAATTAATAATAGTTGGGACCTATGTCCTTACATCCTTCTATAAAAATAACTTGTGAGAGAGAGAGGTTGAAAAATAATAATAGTTGGGGCTCATGTCCTTACGTCCTTCTATAAAAATAACTTGAGGGGGAGGGGAGGGGAGGGAGGGGATAAGGTTTGTTTGAGCCACATAATTTTAGAAGAATGTATTTTAAAATAGTAGATTAATTGAGAATGTGTGGTTGAAAAAGAAGGAAAAGATATTAATGAGATGGAAAATATTATTTTATTGAAGAATGTGTGGTTGAAAATGAGTAGAAGAACGAGAATGAAAATTTTAATGTGGCTCAAACATGGAATAATAATAAGAGTGTGTTTGAACCACATTATTTTGGAATAATGTATTTTGGAATTGTAGATTGATTGAGAATGTGTGGTTGAAAAAGAAGGAAAAAATATTGATGTGGTGGAAAATATTATTTTATTGAAGAATGCGTGGTTGGAAATGAGTAGAAAAATGAGAATGAAAATTTTAATATGGCTCAAACAGGGGCTAATAATAGTTGGGACCCATGTCCTTACATCCTTCTATAAAAATAACTTGAGAGAGAGAGAGGTCGGAAAATAATAATAGTTGGGACCCATGTCCTCACATTCTTCTATAAAAATAACTTGAGAGAGAGAATAGGGGTGTGCTTGAGCCACATTATTTTGGAAGAATACATTTTTGGGAATAGTAGATTGATTGAGAATGTGTGGTTGAAAAAGAAGGAAAAGATATTGATGTGATGGAAAATATTATTTCATTGAAGAATGCGTAATTGAAAATGAGTAGAAGAATAAGAATGAAAATTTTAATGTGGCTCAAACAGAGACTAATAATAATTGGGACCCATGTCCTTACATCCTTCTATAAAAATAACTCGAAACTTAACTACTAAGCTATAAAGAGTTAAAAGACTTTATATACATTATTCTCAACCTACTCAATATTTTCAATTTTTGTGGAAACGCTTACCTTAATGGATTGAAGTTGTTTTGTAAGTCCAAGCCAAACATCGAGTAGTTTGGGATAAAAAATTTGGGTTAGCATTTTCAGAATTCTATTTTTTGAGATAACCATACATAAAAATTCCCTCTCCAACTGAATAATAAAGTAGACGTGATCAAACTCAATTTGATTTTGTCTTTAAAGTTGGTTCATATAAGCGTGTGAGAATGTATTATAATTAAAATATTTTTTGAATAATATTTTTATTTATTTGAAAAAAGAGAATCGAACTATACTAATAAGTGGTCAGTTCGAATAACTTATTTTCAATTTAGTTGGGATCGATATGCTTCAACCCCACCTCTATAAGATATGACTATAAGTTTAGTAACATGTTCGTCATGGATTGATTATATTTTCTAAAATTAGTAGAATTTGGATTTGAAAATTCCCAATCAAACAATAAAATTTATAAAGTCAATGATTGCAAAGTCCCCCACCATCTTATAATTATATTGGAGACAGCTTAGCTGATTTGCTTACAAATTAAACTAAATACAAATAAATCGTGCATAGCCACGTATATTTTTTATATCATTGTTTACATTGTGTCACGTGACAGCACATCATTGAACAATTCAAAAAAAACATTTTTTTCGTCCACAAATTTTCGAAAATGACGGGGATGTCAAAATCAATGCGAGGGAATGAATGTAAATTTAGTATTGTTGATATTTTCAAAGCCAAGAGGATGAATTTCTTTAGTCATGCATCAATAATTGACAAATTTCCATTTTAATAATTTTTTATTATTATTATTTTATTTTATTTTTGGGTGTGTTGAGAGGTAGACTGGCACCTTCTGTGAAAACCCCTATTGTACCTACCACTAATATAATACATGCAACGACCACTGCCATTTATGGAGTGTCAATATGGGTGAGGCTTAATTTTAATCTAAGAATTTTTATTAAAAATATATTATGCTTCTTTAGCAGAGTTAATAAAAACAAATTTAAAAATAATTGGTCTTTCTCTATGGTAGAACTTCCAATTTTTGTCGTGCCCTTGCATTTTACTTATGAAGGAATAGAGTCGTAGATCATTTATCGGTTGTATTTTGGTTTTAAGTTTATAACAATACCTAACTTATCGTATACTTCGATTAATTCTCGTGATCGAGAGTTGAACTTTGAATATTTTTTCGTTTTTAACTTATCCCAGCCAACTAAAACTTAGTTTGAACACAACATTAAACTCAAATTCAACTCTATTAACACTCAATTTAACCTCAAGCCTTATTCGTGAGCTTGAGCTTCAATTTGAGCACGCTTCTTTTGTGCTTCGAAATAAGCTCAATCCTCCTTTAAAAAGCTAGACATGTAACATATTTGTTTGTCATCGTATACAAAACATGTCATTATTAGTCCCCATCTAAGATCACATTCTCAATAACATGATGTTTTGAAAATAAGAATAATATTACTTATACATAATGGAGTTACATGACAGTATACAAATAGATGATGTGTTAAAAAGAGAACTTTTTTTTAATATTCATTGGCATTGTGCCCGAATTCCTTTGCCTTTTCTTGTTCTTCCTTGGAAAAGACCTCAACTTTACTTTTTTTTTTTATTTATTATTATTTGAATTCACATCATGTATATATATATATATATATAACACGTAGCACAACCATAGAAATTAAGGGGGAGAAAAAGAAAAGGATGTTCTTGCACCAGGACACATCTCCAAGTGATAAAAGGAAAAGGTGGAAAAACTCCAATTTTGCTTCAAACTGCGACGTCAAGGATTAAAATCTTGAAATATAGATTTAACCCTTTGGTAAGTGTACAAGTAGCCTTTCACCATGTACCCTTGGAGACATAACCTACGATTTACCTCATTCACCAAGGTCCAGGATACGACAGGTGGAGCCGTCAAATATGCGACTCATCCTAGAAAAAGAAAAGGATGAGAAGGTTCTTTTCGCTGGACACAAGAAAACAAGAGAGAAGATGAAGTGAAAGTTGACTATAAAATATTGGGAATTGGATGCACAAACAAGGACAAAAGATACACCACCCGTGATTAAGAATAAAAGGATATTCTGCGTAGGATTGTGTATATGTGCATAAACTGTCGGTAGAACAAACTTAAATACAAATTCAAAAAATGATATACAATTAAAGTGTATTAACTAACAACAAAAATAAACAAGAAAACTTTCTCCTCCAGTGTTCTTCAGGAATTACTACGATGCAGCCATCATCCGGTCGCCTCTTTACGAATGAGACGAGTGTTTTGATATATGCTCGCCCTTTCTGCATCGTCAATTTTCCTTTCCGGTTTTTATCATTTTCTTGAAAATAAAAATTTATTGACAGTCTTGTCCAAAAGCTCCAAGCATTGTGCATGCCATTTCCAGTAACTTCCCTGCTTAATATTAGAAAAAAGTAGAGAAGTCAGTCAGCTTATGCAAAATCATAAAATGGTGAAAAAAACTTGAAAGAACAATTTAAGGAAGCAAATATTACCAAAATATCTCAATTACGGAAACTTCGAAAACAAAAAGAAAAGAATTCAGCACCGTGACTAAGTTTTCTGGTGGGTTCGAATCCATTTGTCATGTATCATAGCAACAAATTAAGCCTTATTGCCAATAAATTAGCATTCTGATATACGAATTTTTTCTGTTCATAGCTAGTTTCACAATAATATTCAAAGCAACTACATGATTCGCAGCCACAACAATTTGGCCACCCCCGACTGCAGCCAAGAATGAGATGTGTAATGAGACCACAGCCGGGCTAGGCTGGAGTTGTAATGTATTTGATAGTAGGACGAACACAAGACCTAGGGACTAGCGTACAACCCTAACTCAACGTTGGGTGAGTTTCCCGACCTCTCTCATGGTGTCAAGCACAACAATAAGTTACCAACCTCTTTCGAGGTTTACCGACAAAATCATCAAACATTATTCAATGCTAAACTGGGTCTCAAGTGAACAATTTTCCACCATCCAAGGCAAATAAGAAAACCCATACCAAATCCAAGCAGTGAATTAGTTAGATAACTTCAATAAATTTGAGGTCGACCACATCAAGCTTTATGGCCACTTTACATCTATTGAAAGTCAAAAGAAACTATATCCTTAGCTACGACACGTTACGGATTTATACCTTAACCATTAAGCAAATTGTTGGTAAATTCAGTAAAAAAAAAGAGGCAACATCCAAGATTGGCAGCTGTAAAGGATTCCTTTTGACCCACCACTAGCAAATGCAATGAACAATAATACAGCCAAACTACATCCACCAGAATTTATGAGATTGAAGACAGGTCTCTTCGCGGGACTTTCTTATGAGAAAGATAGATTCAACTTGTAGACAACGAGACATGTCCATGAATTATTTCTTGCCTAACAATTTAAGCTTTAAGACGCCGTGGTTTCAACAAGAAATCCGGCAGGCCAGTCGACAATAATCGGAATCCAATCTCATATGAATAACGAAATCAAGAACAATTGAAATGGATAGACAAACTCCTTCAACAAATGGATAAAAAAAACTCAGAATAAATGGCTAAAAAACATACCTCTTCTTGGCTTAGAGACAACCTTAGCAACAGGAACAGATTTAGGAACAGGCTTGTTGTCCTCTGCTGGAAACAAAACCCCATCAATTCCCTGAACAGATATTCGCCCATCTGTGTAGATATCCGGGTCGAACAAATAAGCGGATCCTTCTCCTTGCCCGAATTTTACAGACCCGTCAGCCTCCTCCGCTACCACTTTATGTGGCAATCTCAGAGTATCATACTTCACCTTCCCAAATCTCCTCACTGAATTGTACATACTCTCTTCTGTTTGGTATTCAGGAATTAAATGATAATACATTATCTGCTCCGGCGCCCCAGGTTCGCTTAATTGATCCGTGGTTAGTTTCGCCATAGCCTCGTCATTTGGTGCAAGAACCGTAAGAACATACCCTTCAGAGACTAATCTTCCCATTTCAGAAGCTAATGATGTGAGATTGACTAAAATATCGGCCATTTCATTGTACCCACCGTAATGGAGAAGAGTTTGGATGAAATCATTCACCTGACTTTCGCCGTCGAAATGGTGGTGATGTCCTCCTGGCCCAGGTGCCGGCGCTGGAGCCAGGGAAGGACCGGGTGCCATGGCGTCGAAAATGGGCAGCACAGGCGGCGCACCGGCTTGGACTGGAGGTGCCGGTTTCTTCAGCCGGTGGGTTCTTGGGTCGACTTCCGGTGCTCCCTCTGGTAACACTGCAGATATGGACCTCAAACTGCGCCTAGTGTTGAAATCTATTTGAACGGACTTTGGAATCAACGCTCGTTCAATTCCGTGAATAATCCCATCGGGGCGAATGATATCATCTGCTTTGATAATCTTCGCCATACCCACAAATTTCTCCCCATTTTTCCCAATAACCGGAATTTTTTCATCATTGGCATCAGTACACAAGCTCGTGTGATGGGTTGGATTGTTTACCTCTACAGGCCAATGCTTGGACTCAAATCGAGTCGGAATCATATGAAAAAGCAACAGATTTTGAAGGGATTTCAGATTCCCCGGCTCGAGCAAGAACCTCTTGAACTCGGGATCCAAATCCCGTTCTAGGGCCTCATTTTTAGGAGCAAAAATGGTTATATTATGCTTGGACACTGCTTCTTCAAGGGTTTGTAGCAAAAGTGCTTTTTCCACCAGTTCTGAGAGCTCAGTGTAGTGAGAATCCAAAAGCGCTACAAGAACTGAATTGGAATTGACCTGGGATAATGAATTTGAGTTCCCAGAATGCTTCCCCCTTAAGTTTGCTTGTAATGCACTACTTGAAATCACAAGAACAGCTAAGAATGTCAAGAAAAGAGGTACAAAAACGCCACGGATCTGAAAAACCATGGCGCTTGAAGAATTTCAGTTTCTCACTTCCAAAGAAATTCTTTGCTGTGTTTCTCTCTCTCTAGATAGAATAGTATTTGCAGGGAAATGTTGCTTTGCTTTGGGTAGTGGGCAATGCTGTTTGGTGGAACATAAATGTTCTTTGAAAGATGTGTGAAAATGGGTAATGTGAGTTGAAATTAGGACATGGCCTTTGGAATTCTGCATAAAAAGGATGAAGAATAAGGATTGCTTAGGGGCTAAAAAGGCAAAAGAGACAGGTGTAGAAGGAGAGTGAGAGGCTTAAAACTCGAATCATAAACGCATGATTCAGACCTTTGCTGTGTGTGTGTTTGGGACAGTCTGGAAGAGGGACCCACGCGGAAACTGGCGCTGTCTTCATTCATTTGGGGATTTGGCGGTAGTTGGCTTAGCTGCCCTGATGCGCGATGGTGGATTAAAGTATCCGATCGTACAGTAAAATATTGATTAATTCACAGGAACTCACCCGATCATTCACACGGTGGGCTCCACAATATATTAAAAAGAAATCATGTGTTAACCTCACATATGTGAGTGTCCTTTCAAGGACGTGAAACGTGATTCATCATTGGAGTAATGCTACTTTGCTTCTGGATGGAGTGACATAATATGTTAGTAAATTGTGATTGAATTAAAAAATTGTCTGTATTTTAAACAATTCAATAACATATTGTCATAGGATATTATGTTAAGGATTATGTTAATCATTATGTCTACAGATCATGATTGTTTTCATTGTTAGGTAAGGGAAAAAATTGCGAGATGTGAAAAGTTGAAGATGACTACTTGTAATTAATCATGATTACAAGTGGTTAACAAATTCACTTACCTTTCAACTTCGCTTGAGGATAGAAAAATGAGGATTGTAAAATGTAACCCTCCAACTTTCCTTTTCTTGTGTGTCCAGTGGGAGATGAATACAAGTCGAAGTCGTTAGAACTTGAGAAAGTTGGTGTTACATTCTAAATAGGAAAAAAAAAATTAGCTTGAGTGTTGAAAGATGAATGACATTATGACTCATTATCAAATTATCCAAGTAAACTTGAATAATTCACATAAATACATTGCTTGAAGTGGCCATGTATGTATTCAAGTTTAGGTTATGTTTGTTAAAGAGATTAATTAGACACTTTAGCAAGGGACATATCTAGAAATTTAGTGAGGAGAGCTGGAACGACGATAAACCAACATCTTACCAGTGCGACATGTCGGAGATATCACGCGGCCTATTAAACTTTTTAACATTCATTTACTCCAATAGCAATTCAAAATCTATCAAAAGCTAACAAGATTGTTACATTCAACAATAAGTTGATAAGTCAACAAAAATTTAATAATAAGCCGACAAATCAACAATTCAATAATTTTATTTCATACATTGAAAAAATAGTGACGACAAACGCAATATTTGCTAAATGCAAATTGTGACCGTGCGTAATTCAGTGACTTGAAATCAAGTGTGAAGCAACCGACTATCTAGTAACGAGCAACCAACAATCAAATTAAAAGGTGATTCAATTAAAAAAAAAGCATATTTAAATATTTATAAAGTAAAATGTAATCACTTTAAATACTAGGTTTTAACTTGGATCTTCTTCTTTTGAGGTTTATTTTTTTAAAAGGTGATTCAATTAAAAAAAAATGCATATTTAATTATTTATAAAGTAAAATTTAATCACTTTAAATACTAGGTTTTAACTTGGATCTTCTTCTTTTGAGGTTTTTTTTTTTATAAATACATTTTACTCATTTTCGTAAGCAAGTCTATATTTATTTCTCGTGGAATGAAATTCATTTTTTAGGTCCCGTTTGGTGCACATTTTGGTCATAAGAATGCATTTTTACTATTGATGTAAAGGGGAATATATGGTTGAAAAAGAATGAAAAGTTATTGATGTGATAATATTATTAAAAGATGTGTGGTTAACAATGAATAGAAAAATGAGAATGATAAAAATAATGTAACTCAAGCAAGGATATTTTCTTCTCTCTCTATTTCCATTTCTCTCTCTAAGGCTCAGGTTGAAACCCTAGATGCTCTCTCTCTAAATTTAGGGATGGCAAAAAAATCAGACAAACTCAATATCCGCGGGTCGGGGCGGGAATAACCCGCTTAATCGGGTATTCGGGACGGGGACGGGGCGAAGAATTTTGCCCCGGGTCGGGGATGGGTAACGGGGGCCCAGCCCCATTAAATTTTTTTTTTTTTTTTTAATTCAATATTTTAAATAAAAGTTTTCATTAGTTCTAATAGAAAATAGCAACTAAAATTATTTGTCTAAATCTGAATATGGGTAATAAAAATAAATTATCAAAAACTATAAAAAAAAATTTTTAATGGGGAATAAAGGAGAAAAGGCCCCGCCCCGCACCGCCTTTTTTAAATGAACATTTTCATTAGTTCTAATAGAAAATACCAACTAAAATTATTTGTCTAAAAATAATGAATATGGACAATAAAAATAAAATATCAAAAACTTAAAAAAAAAAAAAAATTCAAACGGGTAGTAAATGGGGCATGGGCCCCGCCTCTCCTCGCCCCGTTGCCATTCCGACCCTAAATCTATCACAACTAGATATCAAAGAGATTGGTACAATTAGTATGTCGACCTAATTGCTCTCTCCGTCTCGTTGTCATCCTTACCCTAAAACTATCACAACTAGATATCAAAGAGATTGGTACAATTAGTATGTCGACCTAATTACAGTTAGCGGTATAAAAATTCAAAAGTAACAAGATGTGTCCAAGTTGTAAAATGTCGAGCATAAGATAACAGTCGTTAAGTCAGTCAAGTGTCACAGCTCAAAATTTATCAAGATCAACTATTTAAAGCTTTCACATTCTCCAAAACAATAGGTGTAAAATATGAATTTTGCTACACTTACAGTCATTACAGCCCTCTCTAATTAGTATGGACCCACACTAATTAGAGAGGGATGTAAAAATTACAGTCCTCTAATGGCTGTACAAGTATCATTTTTGGTAAAATATCACCCATGGCATTCAAAGTTTTCTCCATGTGAGACGACTAATAAAAAATATGCAACAATTTAGGCCCTGTTTGTCATCATTTAAAAAGTTAAATTGTTTGCTATAATATTATTTTTTCACCACATATTCATACAATAAAATATTTTACAAACAAATCAATAAATTTTTCTTACTTTTTAACCACACATTCTCCAATAAATACATTTCATAACTCATTATTCGCAAATAAATTCTATCAAACCGGCACTTAGTATTTTGATCAAAAGATCATAACATTAGGGTTTGGTAATGCTTCTGAAAATTTAAGACATCATTGCATAAGTATATAATTATTAGGTATTTGAAAAAAAAAAAATAGAAGAGAAATCAAATCGGCTAGAGTCGACGCTAAATTTGTCTGGTTTGAATCCAAATTATTTGGCGCCTATAAGTAAAAGTTTAACAGAGGGATAAAGCCCTGAAAATGACTTAAAAGGGATTAGAGGCTATAAACCTAATTGCGCCAAGATTACGATGATCCGTGGGAGCAAGAATACCAAAGATACACCGGACCCAGTCCCACCTAATAATCTCTCTCTATCACATCTAAGCCAAGCCAAGAGTAGCCAAATGAAGCCGCTCGAGAACAGAAGCGAGTGTCGGTCGTGACCTCAGCAAAGGCGGATGGCAAGCTGTCGCTGTCTGACCATGCTTGTTTGAGCCTATTTTATTTATTTATTTTTGTGTAGAATGCATTTTTTTAATGTAAAAGGATAGAAAATATGTAATTAAAAAGTTTAAAAATTTTTTTTTGAGTTTATGTATAATATTATTTTATTGAAAAATGTTCGATCAAAAGAATAAGTGAAAAATATATTCTGACAAAAATAGGATGAAACAAAGGCTAAATGCCATCTTTTTTACGCCAAGCTACATGGCCCACGATCTTTTCATAGGCATGCGTGTGTGTCACAATTTGACAGGACATTTTTCCTAATCAAACATTATAACTTTACGACTACGAGGATCTTTTGTCATTAATTACTAAAAATGAAAATATAGACAAATTTATAAAGATTTCGGTCACTCGTCTTAATAATGTCGACATTTGAATATGGAACCAAAAATCTTAACATAGTATCAGAAGCCGTTAAATTCCAACTAGTAATTTGATCCGATTAAGACTCAAAAAAATTAAGCATACAAATTTCAAAATTGGTCTGTTCAAAACGAGCAACCATCTTGTGGAGGCATGTTAAGGGATAAAATTTCACATCGAATAAAGATGAAAACATAAATCAATTTTCAAAAGTTTGGACTATTCCTCTTAACAATATTGACATTTTAAGATGGAATCTCAAATCTTAATATGGTATCAGAGTTCATTAAATTTCAATGAGCAATTTGATCTGATCAAGACTCAAAAAAATGAGTACACAGATTTTAAGATTGATATGTTCAAACGAGCCACCATCTTACGGGAGCATGTTAAGAAATAGAATCTCACATCGAATAAATATGAAAATATAGATCAATTTATAAAGATTTATGTCACTCTTTTTAATAAGATTGACATTTTAATATGGAACTTCAAATTTTAACAATTACGTCTCCTCATGCCATTTTGGCTTTGCTTCAAACCCTTCTACATATATACTGCACTACGAACCTCAACATTTCGTTAAAAATAAAAATATAATAATCTTTTTTCAATTAATAAATATTATATAAAAAATGCACGAGATTTTAACTGTGATTGTTGAATCTATCAAATATCAATGGAGAACAAGTAGTTTTCTTCTAAAAAAGAACTACAAAAAATTGTAAAATTCCTAGAAATTTTCATCCCAGTAATTGGAACGATTAGAGAGTTTTGAATAAAAAAATATATTTATTTATTATATATTTATTTGAGCGAATAACTTTCTTGTAAATGTGTTATATAATATGTCAACTTAATTTAAATACACCAAACACATTTTGAATTAAAATTATATGTATAATTGCA